TTGTTCTGTTCCCTGCATGCATCCTGTGAGGTGCTCAGCAGTAGCTGTCAGCACATTAATCTGAGATGGACTAAATCTGAAAAAGATTTATTGAACAGCTCTATCCCAGTATCTCTTAAACACAAAGAATGTTATAGTTACTGCCTGATAATTTTCACACAATAACAAAACCTCAAACCCAAACAACCTAAACAAACAACCAACCAAACCCCAACAAAGAAAAATCCACAAAGAAACAAATCAAACAATAATCACAAAAATTCAAGGGGATATAAGGAATTCAAATAAGTACTGGAATTTATAAGGTACAACTATAGTATATGAAGCTGAGAAAAACCTTTGTCTCTCTCCAGCAAAAACTAACTTCAATAGCCTTACTAAGTTTATCATCACCTTCAGTAACTCAGCCCTGGTCAGTAACATTAGGCAAGAAACTCCACTGATGTGCAAAAAGCAGACAAGAAATAGGCTAAAAAAACATAACAAAGAAAAAAAGAGTATTACAAAGACTACATTACACAGCTTTACAAGAACTAAGTCACCTGCTCCAATCTTGCACCAAACAAATACTGAGCTCTAGATTTCACAATATGCTAACACATTCCCTAATCATGACAAGAATCTTGAGAAAAGATGAAAAGTAGCCTTTATTTGTTGCTTTTAACCAGATGCTGATACTGCCTACAAGCGAAGCACAGCTCTCAGGCTGCCACATGAAAAAATCTATGCAAATGACAAGATCAAAAAATAGATCTATGCAAATGACAACTGTAAACATGTTAAATTCTTTCTGTCTGTGGGAGCACTGCAGATATTTTTTACAATGTTCAAGAAGAATTACTATATAGCAGTTTACGCATTACTCCACCAGAAAAATTACAGCAATTCCCATTCTAAAAGAGACTATCCACCTTCCAGTTTCACTGTACTGAAACCTGAAAAAAGCCTTCTTAAGAATAAAAGGAGTCTTCATTGCCAGGTAAGTGCCTGCACTGGGATTCCCTGGTAAGGTTCTGGTGGCCTGCAGGGGTGGTTTCTGTGAAAGAAACCAGAAGCTGTCCCCATGTCGGACACAGCCAGTTCCAGTTAGCTCCAAGATGGAGCTGCTGCTGCCCAAAGTTGAGCCCCTTGGCCATGCTGGTGATGTCTCTGATAAAAGGTAATTAGGAAAGGGTGAGAGGGGTGACAATAACAGCTGAGAGGGGTGACAATAACTGAGAGAAACAACACCGCAGACCCCAAAGTCATTGAGGAAGGACACGTAGGAAGTGCTCCAGGCACTTAGAGATTCCCCGACAGCCCACTGCAAAGCAGGCTGTGCCCCTGTTGGCCCGTGGAGGTCCACAGTGGAGCAGAGATCTACCTGCAGCCCACAGGGAACCCCACATTGGGAGGTGGTAGATGTAGCCCACAGAGAGTCTGTACTAGGCCACCTTGCAGGAGCTGTGGCCCATGGAGCAGACACATGGACAGGAATGCTGTTCCAGGATGGAGCCCTCTTTTACTTTGGGGATCATATTAAGTGCTCAAGTGGTTCTTTATGGATTAATAAATTAATATATTAGAGAAGTTATGTAAAAAATGTGTAATTTTATATTAAAGCATCATAGAATGGTTTTGGTTCGAAGGGTCCCCCCAAAGATCACTTGGTTCCAAACCCCTACCATGGGCAGGGAACTTTCCACTAGATCAAATTGCTCCAAGCTTGATCCAACCTGGCCTTGAAGATATCCAGGGATGGGGCATCCACTTCTCTGGATAATCTGTGCCAGTACCTCACCACCCACTCAGAAAAGAATTTCAAAATATTTAATCTAAATCTCTCACTCCTCATCCTGAAAGTAATTTCTCCTGGTCCTATCACTACAGACCTTTGTAAATAGTCCCCCTCCAGCTTTCTTGCAGTCAGTCTCCTTTTACTTACTGGAAGGTGCTCATAGAGGGCCACTAAATTTGTCAAATTTGCCTTAGTGAAGTCACATTGGTTGTCATCCATCACCTTCTTATCCTCCAAGTGCCCCAGGAGGATCTGCTCCATGATTCTGCTTAGTAAACACCTAGTGGCCAGTGAATGTGTTTTCTGGGGAAAAAAACTATGCACTGTTACTCATACTCCATCTTCAGCAGTAATGTCCACATGCAGATGTTTTTACCCACACACTTTTCAGCTTGGTGGTTAGGACACACTTCTGATTAACAGAAAACAGGGAGTTGAAACCTCTGATACAGGACAGAACAGAGATAATATTTGTCCTGTTCCACTAAACTGTTCTAACCACTAGGCTACTATAATCCTTCCACTTTCTCTCTTCACCACTAAGTGGGTTTTTGTTTTTTGTTTGTTTGTTGTTAATGTGGCCTCTGGATTGCTTTTTACAAGAGAGGGAATCAGCATTGCTGATTCAGTATTCCAAGCAGAAGACAGGTCCTTAGTCTGCCAAATCTCACCAATGAGAAACTTCCAAGCACCCACTCTCATGCATCAGGAATCTAGAAATACCTACATTACTGGCATTTCTTACTGGAAACAACTCTGCTCAGGAGTACCTAACATTGCTTAAAACTCTGTATAGCTAAGCTAGCTAACAAGCTTCAGTTGCCTAAGTCTTTTTCCAGGGACCCTTATTATTTTCCAAGAGTACTGGATGTTTGTACAAAAAAATATTTGTATCAAAAGTAATATTCAATCTGATCCTCTGTATTACAGTATCTCAGTAACAGAAAACTGAGAAGAGCCATGTAAGCCATGAGTCTGTTAAGAGGCCAGCTTTGCAGCAAGGAAATACATGCCTTCTAGGTTGTTCAATAAGATTTCTAGTCTTAAAGCACAACTGTTCCTGTTTTCAAACAGTAACTACCTGGCTGATTTCCCCATGTCTGCCTTTTCTCCCAGTAATTATATAGTTAGTTAGGCAAAGTATTTTCAGCAATTTTGAATTACCAAATCTAACGTGAAATAACTTCAATGGGTCTTTTCCTGACCAAGTTCTTTGCTTGCAGAACTTATTTTTCCCTAACAGTTCATCCGGAAGAAGAGGAACTTTTCAGCACAAGTAAACTCTGAGTTTTATCTTCAAATATTGCAGTATCACAGGCATATTTCAACTCTCTGGTTGAAACTGCAAAATAAATCATTACTATCCTTTAACAGAAGTGTTAAAAAAGCCTTAGAAGTCTAGAAAAACCCATCTAGTAAATATCATTCTCTTATCTTCCACACAGAAAAGCAGTGCTATTTTAAACTGGCACACTACACAAACTGGTATCTGCCATGTGTTTTATGTGTCTCCTGCATAGCCACAGAATGGACAACCTTCACATTCATTAACCTTCAAGCTCCTTTCTAAATCAAACTCTGTCAAACATGTCACATAAAGTTATTTAAATTTGAGACAAGTTTGAATGTTTCAGGAAGGCTGGCTTCCAAAATTTTAAAAATTCCACTCACAGATGTCAAAACAGCTTCTCCAGATTCTCACAAAGAACTTTAATTCAACTTTGTAGAGATGAGAGATTTTGCAAAACAAAACAAAACAAAACAAAACAAAAAAAAAACAAAAAACCAAAAAAACAACCTGTACCCAAGTTCATTTGGCTCAGCCTCTGGAGGCTTGATCTATTCTAATCACAACTGCCATTCTTTCATCCATAGAAAGAATAAGACAATGAAAACAAGCCAGTAAGTATAGAAATTCGAATTTCTCACATATTGAACCATAAGAGGCATATTACATCACCATATGCCACAAAAAGTTTTAAATAGCAAGAATAATTTTGTTACTGATTGAATCAAAACTTGTTCACCAAGACAAAGATGTATTCAATAAGAATTTTGATACTCCAAGTAAAAAAACAACCGCCTTGGCTTGTTACTTTGAGTACAAAGATGATACATAAGGGATGCAGAAAAGTTGGAAAGATACAGGCTAAACAGAGAGAGGGAAATAGCGCTTAAAAAGACTGACACGACAATGCAGAAACACTGTTACAAACAGCTGTAAAGGTACACAGTAGCAGAAGTAGTTTGTATGAGAAAGAAAACTACCTATTTCCTTGTGGTTATGATAGAGCTATCCCCCAGTCTTCCTGCTTGTGACTAACTACAGGAAAACAATGGAAGTGCCAAACCCCCAGCATTTTCAAACTAGCCAATACTCTATAAAGTTCCCACGTTCTGGAAAACACCACGAAAACAAAGATAAAGGTAACACAGGACATGCAGTCTTTACGCCTCTCTAATCTCTGCTCCTGACACTTAATCAATTCTCAGCTTCGCGGCTTCTGCTGCTGCTTCCCCCCCC